AGTTAACCCGCGACCTACGTTAAATCACCTTAGATGTCTCAGGATAACCTCGTCGTCGTCTTAAAGTTAGAACCAAGAATATGAAGTATCATAAGAAAGAATATGGCCTCACTTAAGACTAAGATTTGTCGTAAGTTCGTCTTATTAAATGTCTTAGTCCTAAGATAGCTTCATAAGCATGCCTGCTGGCCTCTTTTCTTACTTTTCGCTTGATATCTGTGCGAATTTCATGTAAGAGATAGCATGACATTTTCTTGCGAATATCATGTGTGACTACTTCCCATGTGAAGAATTTGCATGATATTTGCACAATTTGTACACATTTCCTATGAAGGTTATGCGATCTTTTTTTCTCTGTGCAAAGTTGTGGGATTTTTAAATTGATTTCTTTACTTTGAGAACTTTCTCCTCGTAATTAATTAGTAAAATTTCCAGAAAACCAACACTTGTGATATTTGTTTTCTGTCTGAACAAATGAAAACATCCCCCTCCCCTTCTGAATTCGATGAAAAATCAACTGCTCATTGCAAATGTAATGTAATTGGCATACAACAAAAAGTAAATGAGTTTTATAAACTAAAAAAGGCCTTAAAATGAATACATATTATTCAGTAAGTAATTTGGTCATTAAATTCCAAAACACACCTACGGTGGTGAACGTCGAAATTGGCAGGAATATGTATTTGTTTATCACGTCTTTCGAATTCAAGCGTCTTGATCCTACAACGTGTTGCTAAGTGTTGATGCAATATATGTTGCTTAGATTTTATTTGAATTCTATATATATATATATATATATATATATATATATATATATATATATATATATATATATATATATATATATATATATATATATATATATATATATATATATATATATATATATATATATATATATATATATATATATATATATATATATATATATATATATATATATATATATATATATATATATATATATATATATATAAATTAGGGATGTTAACGTGTAATCCATCCGAGTATCTAAAATCAGTACTCGGTTACTAAGATATAGATGTTTTCATATTTCAAAGTGCCTACATCAAAAAATGTTATTTAAATATGCATTGTCCATGTCTGTATAGTAATTACCGTCACCTACACCAGTTAATACCCTTTATCGCTTGTGTCTATGAACATATATATACAGTAATTACTATGGATGAAATAACACCATTCAGTTGACGGAATTGTAACTAAATGTTCACTGAATGGACACTGAGAAGTCATTGAAATGATCCTTCCCCGTGACTTTTTCCTGTCTTTTCAGTTACCATTCAGTCGACTAAATCGCAAATACATTTCAGTGGCCTTTCAGTTATCTTTCAGTTGCATCTTTTTTATTGCATAATCGGCTTATTTTTTCACTTAGAAATTTATTTCACGTTTTCTTATTTTAATGGTATTAAATTAATCTATTTTCGAATTAAAAAAAATGGGGGAAAAAATGAGTATAAGAAAACATTTTTTTTACAAAGCCAGGGTAGAACCTTGGCCTCCCACTTGATAGTCTGTGACTTTATCCATTACGCCACATCGGCATATTGAACAATACGTGATTTATACTCAGTAAGTTTGTACAAATCGAATTGGAACAGAAATCACCTGTTGTATCGAGGAGCTGGGCAATGTGTATACATCTTGTATATATTTGTATATTCTATGTAAATTTTCTTTTTCTAAATCAATTTTCAAATATAAATTCGAAATTCGAAAATTATTTTGAATTTTATAAGTCCACAGTTGAATTGTAATCTTTAATGTTAATAAATCATATTTAGACATAAATGTTATAGTTAAAAATCACAATTTAACATTTTAGTAAACGCTTAAAGACAATTGAACATCTAACCATTACCAGTTCTAGTACCTGAATTTTATCACAATAAGAAAAAAAAAAAAACACATTTAAAGACGTAAATAATTTTATTCTTAAAAAAAAAAAAAAAAAAAAAAAAAAAAAAAAAAAAAAAAAAAAAAAAAAAAAACTTTAAGGAATAATTACTGATAAACTAATAATAGCCGATGAAAAGGTCTGAATTACGACTGAAAGGTCACTGAAAGATGACGGAAAGGTCATGGAAAGACGACGAAAAGGTCACTGAAAGGAGACTGAAAGACAACATAACTGAAATGTCTCGCTGAATGGTGACTGAAAGTTACCTGAATTATGGCTGAAAGGTTATTGAAAGATCACTGAAATGTACCTGCCATTCAGTGACTGAATGGCCACTGAAAAATTACTGAAAGCCGCCTTTCAGTTTTAACTGAAAGGTCTTGTTTCTTCCTGTGTACTGTGACCAATCACTGGACACTGTAAACAACTGTTATCACCTCTTGTAGCTCTAAGGTTTGGATGTCTTCAAATATTTTTAATCAATAAATATCGTTTAACTATGATCTATTAACTATCTTTAGATTATTTAATTAGTATAAGGTAGCGAAATCGGACAACAGTGTATGTAGAAATACCACTACCAATTCAAAAGTGAAGAAATATTTAAAAATAACCCAAGATAGGAAAAATTTAAATGTCACCCGTGCATAGTAAATTTTCAGGAATCACTTTGTAGTTTGTTGGGTATGCCAGGGAATCAACGCCAGTTGTAAACGTGGGATATTTATTCATAACGGGTGAAGTTGTAAATATCGAGAAATCGATATACTTAACTTTCAGAGTTATCACAGAGAAACATTTTGAAATGTAAATGATATACGATTTGCGATCACGATAACATACATTCCCAAAGATATTTTCTTTCACTAGTCTAATCATTACAAAGTTGCGTCCTTCTCTTCCGTTGATCTAATCGACTGTCTTCCTAAACAAGAACTGAAGAGCATTTGTTATTATTGATGTATTAATTGATCATGTTTTTTTCTGTTCGTTTGATACATAAATTAAGTATCAAAAATCGTTTCCTTTTGGCTCAATGTTTATGTACATGCACTAGAAACGAAAGAAAATATCGATGGCGTATACAGATCTGAATAAAGTCAACAAACCTTTACATGTATATGCACTTTTTCCGAGTACCTGGGTACTCGATCGGAAAATTGTCCGAGTGACCGATTATCAAATATTTGACCGATTTGTCATCCCTATTACACACACACACACACACACACACACACACACACACACACACACACACACATATATATATATATATATATATATATATATATATATATATATATATATATATATATATATATTTCGGTCGAGCATGCTACGTTTTTTTTGGTTCCGACATCTACATTCACATGTTTATATCATTTAATAATTATATATAGCGTGTTTTACAAGTAAAACAACAATTTAAAATAAATACTTTTACTTATGATTTGATATTTATTCAATAAACATTAAAATTGAATGCATAAACATTCAAGTTTTTTTTTCCTCTCCACAGTTCGAGCGCCATTTTGAAATTAGACGTTCTAGGTTGATCCCAATGAGTATCATTTCGAACTTTAAGGGCCTAATGGACATTTGGCTATAAAACTTGTAATGTTTCTGTTTAATTTTTGATTTACAAGTAACTAAATCCTACATGTTTATTTAAGTGGATTGTGTCACCGTAGGGTTATATAAACACGCGCTAGGTAGCACCCATACCAGGTGTAAAGTGACTGGTGACCAACAGGTAATTAGAGTAATAATTAGTCATGAAAATATAATAAGGATAAATAATTTTTTGGTCATTAATATAGTTTTATTCGTTAACAAATTCATAACGAAAATCATGATGCAGTTTCAATTCTTAGTAATGTGTAGAACATACGAAGTTATATAATAGGCTATCATGTGACAGAGTTGTTAAAAATTTTATACAGTTTTTTTTTATTATCTGTAAAGAAATCGATATATTTTCAGATGTTCAAAATTTTCCAATTTTCAAAATGACTCATGGACAGATCAAGCACAAACTTTATTACTCAACATTACGAATGTACCTAATAATATACCCCATAATATGTAAGCATTTACGGTTGAGCAGAACTTACTGAAAATCAAAAATATACAATACACGATACAAGCGAAAACATACAATATATGAAAAAAATATAAATTCCACATACTTTGTATAATACTTTCAGAATTTGTACACTTGATCACTGCGGGAAATAAGCAACCTGTATTAAAAGACCAGCTGTCATATGTGACCTTTTTGCGACTTTTTTTCCTTTCTCCGTTGGAAGGTCTCTTAATACAGGTTTGACTGTATATATATATATATATATATATATATATATATATATATATATATATATATATATATATATATATATATATATATATATATATATATATATACGAACAATTGGAATTGTCAAATTTTCGGGACGCCCTGTCCCTTCCTTTGGACATTAATAAGGTTGAAAAAGTGATGAAAGAACAAAACATCTAGCACGAACACTATGCTACGTAACCTAATTTATTTACACTTTTACATTTTTAATTTTGATGTTGAAAACCACTAAATGTGAAATGAATCCGGAAAACCGCGAGGCACATCCAGTCAGTCTGGTATACCAAACTGACCGGACATGCCTCGCGGTGATGATTCCATTGTATATTATGTGAGGTGAAAATATTTTCGCTAAAATAGAAAAAAAAAGTCCAAGAACTAGATTAATTTTTGCGAACAATAGTGCATCTACGTCTCTTATTCACTAATTTGATTACTTAAATATAGCGCATCAAAATAACAACACTTCATTTTTTGATTGATTGATTGTTTATTGTTTAACGCCGAGTCGGCAATATTTCAGCCATGTTTCGGCGGAGTTCATTTTTTTTTGAAAATAGGGCTGTTTAACATTAATTCTACGTTTAACGTCACCCGCGCGCATATGTTTAGGAGAAATCCGTCTTTGAAAAAACAAACAAACAATTAGGAATTTCATATATCCGTTCCGGTTTGGTTCTACATTGAGCGACTTAATTCTGCATCCCGTACTGACAGAAAATGTGCTTTGATACGCAGTTGGTGTCTTATTAAAAGAAATCTAGTGACTTAAACAGTATGGGATCATAAATATACGTAAAAAAAATAGATGGTTGTATGATTGAAGTTAATAACAAAGTCTAGTTTGTTGAGGTTTTATCAGTCTTCGTATCACAGACTCTCAGTTCGTAATTATATTGGCTGAACTCTTTATTGTATTTTACGAAAGCCCAGAAGGCTCATTCGAGATTCGAGTTTCGAAATACGAGATTCGAGTTTCGAGATTCAAGATCCAAACTAACCAATCAAAAGGCGATTTAAGGTCAAGATCTAGTAAATGAAGAATGCCTACAGATTTTTTAAATTTGAGAAACAAATTCCTTTAACAATCTTTTACAATAATAGCTAAATAAACTGAGGTGTATCGGGGCCTAATTTTTAGATAAACTCAACGAAAAAACATATTTAAACTGCCCTTTTTAATGAAAAATGAAGAAAATCAGTTATAAAAATGGGAGTTTTCTCCATCTCAGACAAATAAAATGTATCAATATTGCCTACAGTCTCTCAGTAAACAGTTTTTCATATCTTCTTGACCTCTTCTTTAAAATGATATTAAGTTGAATATAGGTATCGGGGTTCCTTTCGAAATGATTTCAAATTGAATTCCATGAAAATGTGTCATTTTCTACTTAATTCTGTTATAGCCGTAAAATACGGGAAAGAATAAGATTAAATCAATTATGACGTACTAATGGATCTAGCACCAAAAGACAGACTGAACTCATTTACTAGATCTTGACCTTAAGATTCAATTACTCTCCTTTGCTAATTTTTGACCTTCTAGAAATCGTTGAATAAATTCAAACCGAAGAGGTCATTTGATTATATTACAATGCAAGAAAGAGTGTTATATATATCAGAACGAAATAAGAAAAAAAATATTTGGTTTTTGGTCTGCAAAATATGCTTAAATTTATTATAACTTCTTAAATATTATAATAGATTTATATCAAAAATATCTATACCGTATTATCCACTTTGTTTACAAGTTTGATGTCAAAATAATAAATATTGTTAATCGGATTCAGAGAGCAAGGGGGGGGGGGGGCGTATTGTAGTCGATGGAAATTATTTATTCGTGTGCAATATACTAAGTGACTGGCGATTATTAAATAATAAATAGTAATACGGGTTTCAAAGTGGATATAGTTTGTGACAAGGTAATAGAAAGTGACCAGTGACTAATACGGGTTTCAAAGTTAAGTGTGCAATAAAACAAACGACTAGCGATTAATAATAATTAGTAAATATGGGTTTCAAAGTGAATATAGTTTGTGACAAGGTATAAGAAAGTGACCATTGACCAATGCGGGTTTCAAAGTGGATCTAGTTTCTGACAAGGTATTAGAAAGTGACCAGTGACCAAGTTTGTGAAACTAAGAGACAGTCCCTTAAGTGGGGATGTCTGAAATATACATGCTTAATAAAAGTAATGATTTCTCTTTGTTCAGGCCCGTAGGAAATAATTTTAATAAATCACTGTAAAGCCTCCCACCCCCTCCCCCCTCCAAAAAAAGCAACAGGGGGTTATCACGGTTATTAGACGTTATTTTTGAGAGAACACAAGCATAAAGTTGCTATGTTTTCTATAGTTTTTATATCGGTAAACAACATAACTGGAATGTGTGTGTGTGTGTGTGTGTGTATGTGTGTGTGGGGAGGGGGGGGGGGAGTAGAGACACGTGCCAAGGGTCCTATGACTATGTTGTTTATTTTATTACAACGGTAGACAAATGTTCGGTTATCAACATTGAGTGTCAATCTTGCAATGCATGGGTAAAATAATTACATATTCGAGAATTATTTATAAGGAAACCCTCGGGTTTCGCAAGATACATAACCAATCAATACACAAGTTTCAATACTTGATGTAATGGCCATGGAGAAAAAAAAGATATAAAAGTATTTGATAATGATAAAGAATTAATATTATTTTAACAAAACAATGGACCCTCTATACACCTTTAGGACTTTGAAAAAATCGTATGGCCTAAAGCAGTTCGTATTAAAATTACTTATAGTTCATGTATGCCTTTTAGTGTACACAGGAAATCTTAAAGACATCGTAGTAGTGATTAAGAAAAATCGCGTTCGCTTTCCCAGTGGCGTATATATTCCATTTAGGCGAAAAGGCTGTAGTCTATACATCATTTTCTTGATGTAAAAAAAAAAAAAAAAAATATTTATACATGTATTTGGTTGAAAAATGGGGTAAAGTTGATCATAAAACTTATTGATTTACCAGTTACTAAAATATTTTTTATCAAATGCAATAAAAGTATTTTTAGCAATCCACACTTTTACGCCTATCCAATTTTTACAGCACACACAACTTTTGATTTTTATAGCTGGTTAAATCTAAAATTGAAATGTTACTTTGAAGTCGATATCAGACTATTAAAAAATGATAGCAGCAGGAGTCTACGATTAGGACAGGGAATAGAAATTAGGAAATATGTTTGGGTTAGTAGGAAGGCAAACATATATTTAGATTATTCAGTAAAGAAGTTTTCATAATTTCCAGGTACTGTGTAAGGATTTTAAAATTTCTCAATTTTATTAAGAGAGGCCATGAAGATTCTAATTTCTGTATCATAAAAATATGTTTAATTAAATGATTTATAATTATATTCACTTGAAAAATGACAATGATAGATGTCTCCAAGATCGCAGAAAGTGGTCCTCCGACTCCCCACCCCCACCCCACATTGAGAGGAGGCGACTCCCTCCTTGCCTATCCGCAACTCGGCAATGATGCGCTTAAGGTGAAATCTGTGACTTCACATTAGCCTACACATTAGCAGAAAGGAATATACACCACTGTTTCCCAATAGGAGAAGTACATAAAAAAGTTTTCACTTACTTATCTTGGTCTAAGCTTTTGCATACTTGAATTAATTAAAAATTGTATGTACAATACAGACTGGAATTTATTTTATTCCATATCAAATAGTAGATCAGTCTAACTGCACAAATGCACCCTTAAAAGTACTGAAATGTATCCTTGATTAAATTACTGTGCAGTGTAAAGACGATCCTTAGTATTTCATATCAATAATAATTTTCTCCCTTATCCATGTGCTAGTTAAACAATTTCGCATTTCAACTATAAGACCATATAATATTCTATAGATGTATCTTTTGTTTTGTTTAATGAGGAAAATAAGATTTTATAAACATTTTTCAAAACGTGACCCAAAATTCATTTTTTTTTTTATTGTTTTGATACATATAACATTTTTTCTTGCATTATTATTTAAGCAAATGGTCAATTTGTTATAAATATATTCAGTGATTTCTTGATTATAAAAACTTAATAAAGGGAAGTAATCAAATATTGAATCCTCCTTTTGATTGGTTAGTTTGGATCTTGAATCTCGAAACTCGAATTTCGAATCTCGTATTTCGAAACTCGAATCTCGAATGAGCCTTCTGGGCTTTCGTAGTATTTGGAGAGAATTGCAAAACTTTTTACTGAGAGCAAAGTAGGTCAAAAACAAAGATTTTATAATATACAGTGAGATGCATCATTTAAATTTTATTTAATAGTTTCATCTTAAAATATTTCTGTAAAAATTTAAAGGAACATTAAGATAATTGATTTCTACATAGATGTAGCATTCATGTACCTACAAATGGCAACAATTTTAGGGAAAGATAATACTAGTCATTGCCATTTGAGCAGGGAGAAGCTTACAGAAGATAGGGCCTTTCAAATGAAGGAGAGTAAGAAAAGTGATTGGGGTATTCCAAGAAGTGAGGAATCCTGTCGTGTGTGGAATTCAAGGTAAAATAATCTATCACCTTTGGTCCAAATATAGTATTTACACTTTCAAAACTAAATGCTAGTAGATCTAGTACTATGAGTAAAAATACAGCAGAATTCAATTTCGAGATATTTTCAATTTTAGAATGTATTACATACTGTCAACATAATTTTAACTGTAGATATCGACCAACTATTCCCACAAGAAGAAGGATTTTCCTACAGGATAATATGGACGTGTGGCAATATAAATCCAAAGGACAAACGAGGCCAGTTAAAAGCCACTCTCCTGTACGTTCAGTCTACATTGTTTGCTCACAAAAAGATTCAAACCAATATACATACTAAGGAAAAACTCTGCTTAGGAAATTAAACTTAGATGTCATATCCAATACTCTTATTACTATTTCTTAACGTACTGGATAGGTTAATTTGATAATTTGAATAAATTCACAAATGTTTAAAATTTTGTTTGATTATATTTTTCCTCCCTCCCTCGTAGGTTTTGAACTTTAGAGGTGACGTTAAGCGTAGAATTAACTTTAAACAGCCTAATAATAATAATAATAGAATATTCCGGTTTGAAAAGGTCATTGTTAAATGTTTAAGAAAACATAAATCTGGAAGAAATCAATAAAGCAAGTCAATTTTTTGTTTCTTAAAAAACGTCATACTCAATTTTCGGACAATACCTAGATTCTACCCTTTAGACCTCTGGCGTCCGAAAGCTTTACTCTATACAACCAAAAACATATTCTGAAAAATTAACATCAGTCCTGAGATAACTTCTACAGAGAGGTTTACAAAGGATAATATCTCAAATCAAAAAAAAAAAAAAAAAGAAAAAGAAAAAAGAAAAAGAAAGAAAATAGAAAGAAGGAAGAAAAAGAGAGAAAGAAAGGAAAAATAAATGAAAGAAAAAATAAATCAATAGTATGCTCTGAGTAAAATCAATTTTTAAACCAAGGCAGGCATTTTACAGAAAAGTGAATATTACAGAAATTTTAACAACCTCGTTTAACGTCAGTAAATTTTATGGTCACTGTAATGACCTTGTTGACAGACTTAACCTAACTTTGGATCTTATTTTGTCTGACACATTTCCAACCAAGTTTTCGGACTTTAATTTGTTTTATACTTAACTTGATTAAGGAATATTCCGTCTAAATGATAAAATACATATAGGGCTCACGGTGGGTTACTCCAGTTTGCTAGAGGTTAACGACGAGATAATTTTGACTTGGCGCCGCGTAACCTCTAGCATCCATTGTAAAAATTCTCGCTACTGAAACTCCAAGTAGAAATTGTTTAATAAAAAATTCAGGCTTTGAAAATAAACAAATGACACGAAACAATAAAATATTCATTATTTGCGATAAAACTTACTCATAAAACAATTTTCATCTTTCGTATTAGCGATAAATTCAACATTTTAAAGATCGAAGTAGAAAACCAAACAAATCGTCTGCTTACCTTTCGGGGATGGAATGCAGAAATTCTAACAAAACGAAACAAGTTTTCCGTTATGAAATAATAAAAAAATTCGTTTTCTGACTAGCAATCCGCAAAATTAACGTGAACTCAAATCGAAAGTAATTCTGGTGACAAATTGAAATAGCGAGTTTCAGTAAATGCTCTACCAAGCCTCTTTCTTTACTTTTCACTAAGATATTAACTAAATTATTAACAACAGAGAAGGAAAAAAAAAAAAAACTTCTGGAGTACTTTGCAACAGTATATTCGAGAAGTGATGTAAATCAAAAGTGGATACTTAAAAATTCCCAGGAACTTTTGGAAAATTGAAAATCACAAATTTTTACCAAAATCAATAACATAATAACTTACGACATTTCAACTCTGTATACAACAATTCCCCACGATAAATAAAAGTCCATGATTTTAGACTGTACTGACAGCTGCTTTCCTAATAAAAAGAACTCGTAAATTTACTTACCCTGTCATTAGTCATTTGCAAAATTATTTTGTTAAGAACATTCTGATTGTACGCACAAGAACTCTGAAGGTGATTTTAAAAAGATGCTTGAGTTTCTAATTGACAATATCTATGTGGTTTTTAAGAGACCAGGTCTTACAACAATCTGTTGGAATTCCCATGGGTACTAGTTGCAACCCGTTGTTAGCAGACCTACTTTTGTATTCATATGAAGCAGAATTTATTCAAAATCTTATACACAAGAAAAATCTCTTACTGTTGCCTTCAACTCAACAATAAGATGTATCGACGACAAATTATCAATTAACAAAAGTTATTTCTATTCATATGTCGACATGATATATCCCAGTGAGCTTGAAATCAAAGATACCACAGAGTCTGACACATCTGTTTCATATTTGGATATTTTACTAGAAAAAGACGTTAATGATAATAAAACAACAAAGCTGTATGATAAACCTGATGACTTTAACTTTTCAATAGTCAATTTTCCTTACTTATGCAGCAATATACCCTTATCACCTGCATACGGGATGTATATCTCTCAGCTGAGTTGATAGTCAAGAACCTGCTCTACGTATGAACAATTTCGAAAACGAGGTAAGCTATTGCCAAACAAGTTGATGAAACAAGAATTTCAACAGTCTCCTTTACAGTCATCATTTCGCAAGTTCTTTGGTCGATGCAATGACCTTCTCAACAATCTATCATTAAGTCAAATGCTGACTGACGTTTTTCATACTTTATTTCACTTGTTCACTTTTCACTTATTTTACTTGATTGGCCATTATTTACACACTGAATTGTCGACTGATTTTTCCGTTATTTCCTGATCATGACAAGGAGCATACGGCGGATATGACCGCTCGGCAGGGTATGATCACTCCTCCATGTTTTTGGAGGTCCATGTTTGTTCTGCTCCCGATTTGTATTGCTTAAATGGACTTTGAGCTTGAATACTGTTCATTATCTCCATATTTCATTTACATTCAATCTCATGAATCTTGATATATCTTGGCAATGGAGAGCTTTTCTTTAGAACCTGGATCATTGTATAACAAAAATCACATCGTCTATTATACATAATTACGCATCTTTCTGAATAATAAAATTGATGGACGCTCTGATGCCTAAAGTTTATTGCTGGATGCTCAACAGAAAAAAAAGGATACTTTAGTGTGTATAATTTGTACAAATGGTTTGACTTTATGGAAAATGAAATGTCGTCATACGTTTGCATCTTATTTCAAGATTTTAGTGCTCATTGATTGACGTTTTTCATACTAATTGATTTGCCATTATTTATACACAGAATTGTCGAGATTCTTCCTTTATTTTCTGTTCATGGCAAGGAGCAAACGGTGGTTGCGACCGATCGGCAGGGTATGCTAACTCCTCCATGGAACTTAATCCCACCTCTGATGTTATTTGAACCCATGTTTGCTCTGCTACCGATTTGTGTAGTTTAAATGAACTTTGAGCTTGAATACTGTTCGTTATCTTCATACTTCATTTTAACTACCAAACATGTATCTCAGCTGGTGGGCAGTCTGTCCCCGAGGATACTTATCGTCGGTACTTATTTATTCATGAATAGTACATAGCATAAGGAAAAGATACTGGCAGACGCGTCACCTAGTATGAAAAGGCTTCACTCTTTGGAGTTTATAAGGGACACAGATAGTTTGGTTTAGAACTAACAGTTCAAAAAAAAAAAAAAAAAAAAAAAAAAAAAAAAAAAAATGAAAAAATGTAAGCTTTTCATAGATATATATTTGGCGATATCTTTTCCCATCCCATGTGTTCTTTTTAAAAACGCTCTGTGAAAAAATGTAAAACCTTTGCTTTTTAATAACTAACTCTTCCTTTTACTAGTAATAAATTTTGAGCTTGATTTTGTATTCTTTTTTTATTATTCTTTCATATTTTATTCCATATATAAATACCTATAAAACGTTCAGTCACAATGAAGAGGTTGAATTAGATTAAAATGAAAAAAGCACAAACACAACAATTTGTTTTCAGTGATGGATATTAATCTTGTGAAGTCTATTACTTATTTTTCAGTGTTCAACTTGATTTTTAGTGCACATTATATAACCAATTTCTGTGAGCTTTGAACTAAAAATATTACAAAAAACTGTACTTTAGAATTATTTTTCCTTTCAAAGAAAGTGCTTTGAATAAGAGAAATACAACCATTATCAGATGTCATACAACATTGCACGACTTTTACTCAAAACCGGATACGCATAATTAAAGATTGAGATGTGAATTGAGAGTGATGGAAAATTACCAGTAAAATTATCTGATATATTGTGATTAACATTGAATTTCAAATAGGAACTGTTCTTATGAAACAATGAATGTTTTAAGGTATGTAGAACTTGTTTCTAGATATTTTGAGTTAAAAATATCCCATTCATTTTTTTCTTCAAAGAAACTCAATATAGAGTTCATGAAAGTGCCGATTTTTTTTAGGATTTGTTCATCAACATAAGCAAAATTAGAGGCCAAAATAGTGACCAAGCCAACTTAGACGCATGACCATGTTGTGTTGTATACGTTCTCTCGTTCTCGTGGCGACCTTCAAATTATCTTAATTCTTAAAATCCCTAATTTTCTTTAATCTGCTTCTTCCTTAACAAAAATGTACTATAGTTAACTACAGCAAATATTTTGAAAAAAATTATTTACTATGCAACTATACTCTAGAACATTTTAAAGATTTAGAGCCTTAATATTTCTTAAAATGCTTATGGGTGAATTAAAAAAAAAATGACCAAACGCATATTTATCAACCCACACTAAAAATACAGGCAATGAAAATAGATTTCTATGTCTCAGTATATGTCTTTAGATAGTGTCTAAATACCTGCCAAATATCTCATTGATATCTCAATTAACAAAAAAGTTATGCCCAAAAATGATGCTAAAATTGTGAGGAGTGCAACACCTTTTTTGACATTTTGAAATTTCAATATTTTTTGGAGATCTGTGAAATAAATAATAATGCTTTATGTTGAAAATAAAGACTTTCCTGATAATATTCAAAGTATTGAGCTTTAAATGTAGGCTGTAGTAACTTTTGTTTAATCAAGTTGTGGTCATGGCTGGTGTTTAAAAAAATGTTATACCATGTCAGGAGTGCAACAGAAAAAAAGTAGTGTTGCCAAAAAACATCAATTGTAAAATTCTGAAAGAAAATTTAGACAAAAAAGAATTTTCGAAGTGTAAAACAGTAACTGATATACATTTTAAAACTTTAAAATGTTATATAAATCACAAGCAGCATTAATTAGAGTCAAGTATAGGTGCATATCCAATAATGTCAGGAGTGCAACATTTGATATTTTGCTCCAAAGCATGAAAAAAAATTATTATCATTATATGATTTTCTGATTTTTATTTTGGAAAAGAAAGAC